GACTCGCAACAAAAAGCCTTTTCATTTTCTATAAATTGCTAACTTCGTTATGACAATTGCATTATTTGTTTAAAGATAAGAGTGCTAAAATTGAGATAAATTGTCAATTTGTAGAATGGCGAAAAATCAACATCAGAATGGCATAATACCGGGAGCTGGCATAGTGTCTGGTCCGGATGATTTTTCGGATGGTGAAAGCACTCCTCTGACTCAGGACTATGGCGGAAGGTATGACGGTTTCATCATCGTTAGTAATTTCTTCTCTCAAGAATCCAAAATTTCAAGGAAATAAAATTAAATAAATAAATGAAATAAAATTAAATAAAATAGAAGATCGAAACAAAGAGATAAAATGATATTTTTTTTAATTTTCAATTTTTTTCAATTGTTATTTATTGAAATAATTTACTTTAGATTCTAATATTCAAATTAAAAAGCATGAAATCTCCCTTTTTCTCTCGAGAGGGCTTGAAAAAAATAAGAAACTTACATAATGTTGATAATAAATTTATTTAATTAATGTTTCGATTAATCAACAATCAATTATTTGAATGTAGCCAACGCACGATTGTCGAAACAAAAGGATGGGACGTATTCCGGAATCCGCCAATGAAGACCGACTCGAACTCGGGTTCCATGGCAAACCAGAAATGCCTAGAGAGGATGGTGCAGGTAATCAAGGTCACCATCTATCTGCTTGTTTTCATCATAGTGTTGGGAAGCGGTGTAATTGCCAAAGGCACGATACTCTTCATGACGTCGCAACTGCGACAAGATAGAAAAATGCTCTACTGCAATAGACAATTAGGTGAGAAATATAGTGTGTTATCCTAGCGTGTTATCCTAAAAACTTATTTTGTGTGATTCAATTCAAAAAGTAAAATAATTTTGACCAACTCAATCAATTAAAGATTGTGTATTACAAACTATAATTTTACTTTTAATTACAAAAGAGCAGAAGAAAAAGAGATATTTGTAATATCCCATAATTATTTTAATCTTAATAATTATTATCGTAATGTCTTCTTACAGATCGGGAGAATCAGTACATAGTAACACTGCCCGAGGAGGAGAGGATCGCTTGGATATGGTGCATAATAATCGCGTTCACAGTGCCGGAGTTCGGCACGCTGGTACGCAGCATTCGCATGTGTATCTTCAAGTCCTGGAAAAAACCGCAGTCGATGCACTTTCTCGTGGTTTCCATCATGGAGACATTTCACGTGGTGGGTCTGGCTTTGATGTTTCTGGCGGTGCTTCCGGAACTGGACGTCGTAAAAGGAGCGATGCTGACCAACTGCGTATGCTTCGTTCCCGGATTGCTCGGTAATTTCATTTCATCAATTTTCAATTCAATCAATTTTCGTTCGATTTCACCTCGTTGAGCTTCGAACAGAAAAAAAGATTTTATTGAAGTATCTAAAAATTTAGCTTACGAATCTGAAAATAATTTTATAGACAATTCAAATATTGCATTGGAATCTCAAACATAATAAGCAATGTTGCAAAATATTTTGACATTCTAGCAAATATTATAGTTTAAACGTCCTATGTAATTATCTCTTTAGTCCAAACAAAATTATTTTTAGGACCAACTAAATTTTTAGATATTTTAGTAAAACCATGAAAAATTATAATATATAAAAAATAAGAGAAATAATAGAAAATGCCAATAAAGCAAGAGAGAGAAAGAAATATTAAACAAAAATAAATAAAAATAAATAATTAAATATTAATCTAATTTATTACATTATTTGCATATTAATATATATAATGCGTTATATAACATCTTTACATCTTATCTAGTTCTGAATATTGAATTCTGAATCTTGATATTAAATTTAAAAAATGCAAATACATGATCTTGTTTTCAATCGCGATTGCCCGACTTTCGCGTTCAATTTTTCCATAGTTCCGTGTTGCCGAGCAAATAATCATGAAAGTAGTGATTACACGAGAATAAGTGAAGTGAACGCTACATATATTTCGCAGGCCTACTTTCCCGTAATAAAAGTAAAGACGATTCCAAACGATTCGTCCTCGTTCTCGTCGATATCGCCGCTCTGGCCGCACAAGCGACCAGCTTCGTTCTTTGGCCCTTCCTAGACAGCTCAAGACGATCCTTATGGCTGATTCCCCTTACGCTGATTCTCGTCTCTTGTGGCTGGTGGGAAAATTACGTCTCTATGCAGAGCAGAATCGGTGAGTTCTCTAATCCTTTACAATTCAAATCTTTTTATTTCAAATGGAAATAAAATTATAAAAAAAATCTTTTAAATCTTTTGTAGAATATTAAGCTTCTGTAATGAATTAAATAATTTCCTTTCTTCAAAACATTCTTTGTATAATTTGTTACAATTTTCATGTAAATTTCAAAATTTTTAAATAATTTATAACTTTTAGAAAATTTATTAGGTTTTTATACAAATTGAAACACTTTTTAAAAATTCCGAGAAAATCTACATCTTTTCTAGAATTTTTCATATATATATATATATATTAGGTGTACAACTTTGCTTCCGCCGTTTTCCTATAGATGGCTTTAGCGGTAAGTGGTGGTCGAAATAAATAGATCATAGACGTCATACAATAAACTTGAGCATCTGTCAACATAACCCCATAGAAACATTAGTCGATTTGTGTCTGCATCATAAAGTTATTCTCGATTGAAAATGTCAGTTTACGAGCCAAATTCTCGTCATTTGCGGGAGATTTTAATTTTTTGCTTCAATATGAAGAAATCTGCGGCTGAAGCTCATCGAATGCTCTCAAATACTTATGGTGAGGCCGCTATTAGTGAAAGAACGTGTCGTGAGTGGTTTCAACGCTTCAAGAACGTTGATTTTGACGTCCAAGATCATGCTCTGTATTTGGTGGGACCAGCTCCGCGTAATGTATTATGAACTGTTAAAACCGACTGAAACAATCACAGACGATCGGTATCGAACGCAAT